CGATCAGGAATGACATTAAGAAATGTATGAAAACTTGCTAGTTGTTGGCGAAAATAGCTTGTATTTTGTATATCTTCCGATGTAGCAAAATGAGTAAAAACTCCTGTACAATTCAGATTCGGATTGAGAAAAACCATTTTCATTACTGCTTCTACTTCATCAATCGTTGTAAGGCCAAGTCAATTAAGACCTGTATCTATTTTGAGATGGAAATCGCCCTAGTGAAACTACTCATCAAGCGAGTACGACTTCCCAGCATGAGTACTCAGATTACTCAAATGAGTACTCATAAAAATTCACGAGTATTCTTACTGATTGAGTACTCATAGTCGTACTGATTCAGTTGTTGCTGGTTTAACTTTACTCGCAAGTAGTGGTATGAGTACTCACTCGAGTACTCATATATTTTTTTTTGCAAAATAACTCAATAAAACAGTTATGCATTTTCAGATATGAAATATAAAAAAATGAAATAATATGAAAGTAAAATTTGCACAATATAATTAGATATGAAAATGTATTTTATCTGTTTCTTTTTGTTCAATATTATCAAACAACAAAACGATCATATTGTTTCCAGGAGAGAAAAGAAAACATACAATTGGATGTTAATTTTCATGTTTCTTTTTTTCTTCAAATAAACGTTTATATTCTATAGAAGAAATTGAAGTTGTTTTCCATGTGCTTAGATATTTTTTCGAAAAAACCGTTTTGTTCAATAAGATTATTCGTCACTATTCGGTAATGAAGAAAAACAAAAAAAGCAACGTGACTTGTTTATGTATATTGAAGATATCCAATAGCAATATATGTTGAGATAGACAAGTCTTATATCGACATAACGTCATTCTTTTTTTTCTATTATCATTCTCGTCAGTATCGTTTGCCTATAATCACGTATTTATTGCTTTCTTCTAATCTTTGATTTATTCTTAGATGTTTAATAAACAATTTTAGAATTTCGATTATAAGTTTCGATTAAATGCACCTATTATACGAAAAATTCAATAGATATATCCATCTTATATAAAATTTATTTTTTCTTTTAACTAGACATTAGCAAATCAAAAAAATCAAGCTGAATTTAGTAATGAAACTTATACAAAAATCGAAGTAAGTCTTCGTCTTTTATATATATATACCTTTATCCAATCTCTATTGCAATTCTAGGAAATTATTGGTATGAATCCTAATGAAATTAAATCTACATTTATACGTCCAACAATGGTAATGAGAGAATCAATGAAAAAAGATGGTCATATTGGTGATTAGATACAGTTAATAAAATATGAAAATTTATTCAAAGGTCAGTATACAACTTTTAAGTTTTCCACTACAAAGTTCATTAAAATTTATCGTTTTAGAATTATACAAATGAAATGAAATGAAATGAAAGCAACAAAAATAAAACAGTTTATGCAGAACTATTATTAATAGCAACAAAATCAACACCACAACTTGCACAAATATCAACGATCCCGAGCGAACAAGGA